GTCTTCAGTCTGGACAGTCTGATGTAACTGATCTCTCAGTGTCTTCCTGTCTATGAACAAGTCTTTTTGTGTTTCCACCAACTTTACAGTCTTGTTTCCACACCTATCACTCTTTTTCATACACAGGTTAATTAAAGAAATAGCAAGGGAAATGTATCCTCTGGACTAAATTACTTTCTCTGTCACTGGTCATGCACAGGGCTATCTGGCAGAGCTGCAGTAGTCTGTGTCGCCATATCTGATTCAAACAGTGAGGTTAGACGAGGTAACTGCAAAGTCCATCTTTGCTGCAGAAACCAGCAGGATTCACCAGTTTACATTGTTGATTCAACTTTTATTCATAAATTGATGGTAAATCTACAACAATGCAGAACATGAGCATACTCATTATTGGGCCCATATTAGATAATCTTCTGTTCAGGAAGACAACTTGACGCCAAAGTCGTAAACATCTCTGGCCCTGGGACAAACTGTTGTGGCTCGCTGCTGGAGTTGATAAGCCCCACAGGATGGCACAGCCGGGCTTATCGAGCGCGGCCACACCGAAAGCTTCTGCTATCGCTGGGCGCACTGGCAGAGGAAAAACTCATCCCCTTATCTCCTCTCTGCTGGGGCAATAACCCTCCTTCCACTTCAGGTGGCGCTCTACTTTCTCCTTAGTTGACCACAAGGGGGGTTGCAGTGACGGAGCAAGATTAAAAGGCTCAGACCTTTCTATGACTCCTACATGCTGAGGTGTTTGGCATGCAGACAATATTGGAGAAATGAAGTGTTTATTTTGAATGCATAAAGCTTGCCATCACATGAAAGGCAGCTAATTTCAAGACATTAGCAGTGCGTGTGACGAGGTGGCAATAGGAAATCCAATGTTGAAGTTAGTGGATTATTTAATGAGCAGAAATGAAAACAACCTCTTGTGTAAGTGCTGAGTGGAAACACAGAAAAAAAGGAAAAACACAAGCCAGTCTGGATGAGTTCCAACCAGCAGAGCCTGTGCTCCTCAGACTGCATCTGCCTTACTCATACAAACACAGCCTTATTTAAACCGGAGCCTGCTGTGAGGAACATGTGTCTCTGACCCCCGAGGAGACTCACACTGTCTCTGCCTCAGAAGTGGGGAAGTAGGAGCATCTTTTTTTCAAATGAGCTGACAAAGTAAAAGCATGCATTTTGAAAGAAACGCAGCAGCCTGACTTCACTAAAGGGCGTCCTACTGGCCATGGAGGGCTCATTCTGCCGCCCGTCATGACAACTTCAGACAGCCTCATGTTTTGCTCCTCAGCCACAATAACAACCTGCATTATTAATAGTCACACAAACTCCACAGTTAAAGAAGTTTTTGTAAATATGTTGTACTTTTAGGAACCTCTAGCCTTCTTTTACTGGAATTAGATATTCATCCTGGTGTATATAGTTTATAAAAACCCTTTTACTTAATAATTATCCTGAAGTGTGTGAACCAAAGTATAACTTAGTACTCCATGACAAGTTAGAGTCCTGGATTCAAAATCTAACTTATGAACAAGTGTCAGCAGCATCTATCAGTGAATGAGGTACTGAGGTAAGAGAGATGATTGAGCCTATGGCCCACTGATGAAAGTCCCTGCATTTATCTTAATTATCAACCTGGATATGTGGCAATATTCCCGGGAAATATCACATGCAACGACACTAGCTGTGTTATGAATCTCATATTAATGATTATCCTTACCAACTAGGATTAAAAAGGAGTAAGTAGTATTGTAGGTTCTAATGCATTGCATCAGGATAAAAGTACAAAATAGGTCTAATTGGAAATACTGTGCACAAACTCAATTTACAAAATTAGTTACCACCATTTGGAATGCGTAACATACAGATGCTAAACACTTTCTTTTAAAATTAGAAGGAGTGTGTTTTAAAGACAGGATGTCATCCTAACAGGAAGTTACCTTTTCGCCTTCCTCTGGAATTATTGCAGCATGGATTCCACAGGAAGCCCTCCCAAAATCTACCTGGGTCTTATCAGTGTATCATAATAAAACACACTGGGATTTCAGTGGTCTTAGAACAACAGTCAGTTACATATTTTAAATAGTAAATAACTACTTATGATTATTCAGCTTGATGCTGTGACATAGGATTTAGGAAAACACGAGTAGGCATTTTGAATATCTGTTTTTCTTATTAGCCACAGCAATCAGGTGTGGTCACAAACTGTGTTTATTTCTTGGCAAAGCCATAGGATATCCATTTTAAATTAATTTTCCTCCCCACTTGTGCCAAATCCACCCTCTCAGTGTTCTCTTTCCTCTTGGTGAGTCTACTCCTCACGTACAGTCAAAGGATGCCTGCTCCTGAAGGTTTTGTTTGCCTAGTGGTACGATCTATGTAAGATCGCGGAAAAAGGTAGGACCCAAATGCAGACTACAAAAACTGAAAAAAGGTCTTGAAACAAAAAGCGAGCTTTATTTAAAAGCTGGTAGACAAAACATGGCATAACTTGAAACGGTAGCACAGAAAACGACAACACAAAAACTGACCATGAGAAACATGGAGGAAGACCGGAGAGACAAACATGAAGCGTGACGTGAAGGGAGGACAAACAAACAATGAACCGACCGGGGAACACAGGAAGAGACAGGCGTAGACGAGATCCTGAACATGACATGGGCTGGTGTCAATGGGACCCCGGATGGAGCAAGGGCTGGTGTCGACTGGACCCCCAATGGAACAGGACACAGAGTTGGCAGGACCCCCGGTGGAACAGGTGTCGGTGGGACCTCCAACAGGACAGGATACAGAGTTGGCAGGACCCCCGGGAGAACAGGTGTCGGCGGGACCTCCAACAGGACAGTACACAGAGTTGGCAGGACCCCCGGCGGGACAGATGTTGGCGGGACCCCCAACGGAACAGAACATGGAGCTGGCAGGACCCCCGGCGGGACAGGTGTTGGCGGAACCCCCAACAGGACAGGATATGGTGTAGGCAGGAAACCCGGCGGAGCAGGTGTCGGCGGGACCCCCAACAGGACAGGATCTGGTGTTGGCAGGAAATCCGGCGGAGCAGGTGTCGGCGGGACCCCCAACAGGACAGGATCTGGTGTTGGCAGGAAATCTGGCGGAGCACTAGTCGGCGGGACCCCCAACGGGACAGGACATGGGGTTGGCAGGCCCCTCAGCGGAACAGGTGTCGGCAGGACCCCCAACGACACTGGACGTGGAGTTGGCAGGACCCTCAGCAGAACCCCCAACGGCACAGGACATAGGGTTGGCAGGACCCCCGGCAGAAGAGTAGTCGGTGGGACCCCCAACGGGACAGGACATAGGGTTGGCAAGACCCCCGGCAGAAGAGTAGTCGGCGGGACCTCCAACGGCACAAGACATAGGGTTGGCAGGACCCCCGGCAGAAGAGTAGTCGGCGGGACCCCCAACGGGACAGGACATAGGGTTGGCAGGACCCCCGGCAGAAGAGTAGTCGGCGGGACCTCCGACGGCACAGGACATAGGGTTGGCAGTACCCCCCGGCAGAAGAGTAGTCGGCGGGACCCCCAACGGGACAGGACATAGGGTTGGCAGGACCCCCGGCAGAAGAGTAGTCGGCGGGACCCCCAACGGGACAGGACATGGGGTTGGCAGATCCCCCGACAAAACAGGTGTCTGCTGGGCGGGACCTCCAACAGGACATGGGGTAGACGTCGGCCGTAGAGCCAACAGGACACAGGGGGCCGGCGTCGGCCGGCGAGCCAACAGGAGACGAGGTGCTGGAGTCGGCCGGACCACCGACAGGACACGAGGGGCTGGAGTGGGCCAAACCACTGACAAAACACGGGGGGCTGGCGTCGGCCGGGGAGCCAGTACTGGAGCCGAAACTGGAGCCAGAAACATGGCAGCAGGGGCCGAAACTGGGCCGGAACCATGGCTGCTGGGGCCAGGACTGAGGCTGGAACAATGGCTGCTGGGGCCAGATCTGGAGCTGGAACCATGGCTGCTGGGGCCAGATCTGGAGCTGGAACCATGGCTGCTGGGGCACGGGCTGGAATCCTGGCCCTGCGTCTCTTAGAGGCCTTTTGGAGACGCCGTGGACCTCCAACAGGACAGTAGTCGGATCCCAGGAAAGGGTTAGAGGCTTGAGAAAAGTTTCCAGGACTACATGTAAAAAGATGTAGCCACTCAGGCAACAAACCCCTGAGCCAGGGCTTGCGAGCAACCTCCTGGCGTGCCTCCTTCAAAGCAGTCACTCTACCCCGTATAGATGTGGCGTCATACCAGGTATAAAAAAGGTACTCTAGAGAGTACGCAAGACGTTCCGCCTGGAGAATAAAAAATAATTATAATCTGCTGAGTCCAATGTTGGTCGGTTCATTCTGTTACGATCTATGTAAGATCGCGGAAAAAGGTAGGACCCAAATGCAGACTACAAAAACTGAAAAAAGGTCTTGAAACAAAAAGCGAGCTTTATTTAAAAGCTGGTTGACAAACACAAAAACTGACCGTGAGAAACATGGAGGAAGACCGGAGAGACAAACATGAAGCGTGACGTGAAGGGAGGACAAACAAACAATGAACCGACCGGGGAACACAGGAAGAGACAAGACTAAATACAGGGAGGGGTAATCAAGGAACAAGAAACAGCTGGGTAAAGGAGGGAGAAACACAAGGGCAACAGGTGAACACAATCAGACAATCAGGTAGGAGGGAAAACAGACAGGAATCAACAGGCAAGACAGGGGGTGAACACTTTTCAAAATAAGACAGGAAACCAAAGACAGAAAAAGACAAGACAAAACACAACACAGACAGATCGTGACACCTAGTCAGGTTCCCGTGCCAGAGGACACTTCCTTTCTATTCTTTGGTTTAATACGCTCAACTATTTCCAGGTTTTATTAATCAGCAAAGGGACACACGCCTTAAAGAGAAGTATCTTTTATTGAATCTGACTGATATGTCAGAGCCCATGAGGACATTTAAATGATCTGAGAGGTGCACTTGCAGGAGGCGTTACTGCAGGTCGCCTGCTGCTTCAGATCAGGACAGTTGCTGTACTTATCAGCGTAGGGACAGGGGTTGGCTGCAGGAGACAAGAGAAAGGACAATGAATGCATAAATACAAATATATAATGTGAGAGCTCAATATTAAGATTGGAGTTTTTCAACTTGTTCTCAAATATGTTCCTAAAGCAGAAATGATCTCACTGTTTGACGTCAAAGTAAATCTACATCATTACATTGAGATCCGGGAAGTAAACAAGGTTATACTGAAAGAAGTACATTTTCATTCCGTCTGTGCTTAAAGAAACCTTTTTTTTGGCTCCACTCACTGAATTTAAACGAATCTAGTAATACATGTATTTATTTTATTTTACCTTTTTTACTTGTGATAATTTTGGTTTTAATTAGAGTTTTCTAAGCCATGAGAAAGCCAGGGAAGATGCATTTCCCTTGAACAAGTGTGCATTCAAATGTACTGAATCTAGTCCTGCAGTATTACTCTACAATGACGGCAATGGAACGTTTTGGATTTTATTGTGTCACCTTTGACATTTTTTTGCGGTTAATTGTCCTGCTTATAATTAAAAGGAACACAACTTAAATAAATGTAAAAAAAACCCTATTAATTCAACAGTTTTTTTATGCCCCATTTAGTGTATATGTAAGCAGTAAAAAAAAAGTTTAAGAAATCGTTTATAACATAATTTGTGTAGTTAAGTGTACTCCAATCATCCATTATTATTTAAAAGTTGTTGATAAGATGAAGTCTCGCAGTGCAGTATTTGCCACGGCACTTAGTCACCACAGGAGGGTCCTGATTTGTAGGGGCGAGCGTACTGGAAGTTTCCGCTGTAATGTAGGCCAGAGCATCAAATATTAAACTTTACAGCAATAGACACTCACACTCAGCCCAAACATGTCACGAATATGATCTGAGCAGGCAAAGCACTTTGAGTTATTATTTAATGACTACTCAGCATGTGTAGAAAGACAAATCAGATGCAAATTGCAGTTTTACTTCTCATTACTGCAAAGCATCACCGTGCTTTTTGTGTCTCTAGTTAATTATACTGATGAAGTTTTCTATATCATTAGTATTAGAATAGCACGAAAAGTAAGCAACCATAGTCTAAAATGTAAAAAACGATAGCACTTTTATCAGAGAAGAAAAATAATGTAAAAGATTGATACTTTTTTGAAAGCTTTTTCTTTTCTTTTTTCTTACTTAACTTCCAAATATATTTAATAATACATCATGGGACTTGATCTTGTTTCCTTTTAACTCAATGGACTCATACATCAATATTCATATAAATGTTATTTTTAAGTGAGAAAGTATGCTGGACTTTTCATTTGAAAAAGAGGGGAAGACATGTTTTACTCACGGTGGGCAGTATTGGCAGACGTAGAAGTACTTGTACTGAGAGTTGGGACAGTACGCCACACCACAGCCAACCTTGTTGGACCTGTACCAAACAACCTGTGCAGAGAATAAGAGTAAAATCAAATCAGCAGGAGGTCATCATAATGATTAATACTGTTTTCATAGTCTCTTTGGGATACTGAGTATGTTTGAAAATCACAAAAGACTTGGAAATCTCACTTTTTGTAATATGTGACCTTTAAATACACTCAAAAGTGTTGGCTTCTTTGTTTGCAAGTTAGTCAGAGTGCTCCACAAACTGAGATATAATTGTACCTGTGTGTAATGTCCGACCACTCGTCCATTAGATCCCACTCCGTAGCGCCAGTTCTGCACCTCGTCGTACCAGTCCTGGATAGCGTTGCTCCAGGGGTCCTGGGAGCTGGACATGTACAGGTTCTCTCCACAGCCGCTAGCTGAAGGTTGAAGAGGAGGAGAGAGACACTTTAGTCTTGTTAAAAACCATCATAAATGTACGCTCAACTCTTGATCGCACATTAAAAGGGAATCGTCGTCGTCAGGAAATTGAGTTGAACCCTCACCAACCCTTTCTCTCATTCTAAGGACATATGGCCGCTTTATGTGTTGCTCTGCCTCATCTATTACCCCCTCCTCTATTGTTAATGTAGTTCTTTGATAGCGAAATATCATATTTGGAGTAGTTAAAATATTACATGATTGGGTTGAGAGCCAACGCTGTGGCTTTTAAATTAATCTCATCAATAATTATACTCTTATTTAATATTAGGCACTCATTTTGTCCACATCTGGCATGACATATGCGGAATACAACTTTTTTGATTAAAAATGTATACAATACATTGCAAAAATTGTTCCATTATACAAAAATCACAACTTCATAAAACCAATAATAAAAAATACTTATGTTTGTTCCCCTCAGATCTAAAATGAATGTACTTCATGTTCAAAAACTGTAATTTCTTTAAGCAATATCTCGCATGACCTTCTAAGTTTCACAACGGTGGCATATTTAACGTAATTATTCACTAAGGACTAGTCCGATCATCGCCAATATAATCATATTTCTTCTACAGCTTATGATACAACCTGGTTGAGTAACACTGTAGTTCTCACCTACCTATTTGTTTGTGAAATGACAGTGTGTCTGACTTTTTAGTAAAGTACATTTTTTGTTAGTTTTTTTTAAAACATGGGGACTTATATAATGAACTTACAGGTGATCACTCTGGATCTGTCAGGGCTGTGGTTCATGGAGCAGGTGTTGGCCCATTTCTGAGTGTTGGCTGCAGCCTCGCTGCTCCAGCTCTGGGGGGGGACACATCAGCACACGCAGACCACCAGTAAAACACCAGCAAATCTACAGGTGCTGTGTGCTTGTCTGGAAATCATTTTATCTTCTACTGATATTCTGCACAAGGGAACAATGTGGAATATCAAATCAACCTTTAATAGGCTAGATCAAATGAGAAACCATGCTCAGAATAATGATCAATGAAGCACACTATGCCTTAGAAGTTGTGAAATAATTTGAATGCAACATCCATATATTACCATTTCCAACATGTTGCTGGCAGTAGGCTGAACATTTCTTCTCAGATCATTGTGCTTGTGCCTACGAAAGTATGTTACTTAACAAAAAACCCTATGCATTTAATGTTATTTTGGACCATTATTCATATAGTAATCACATTACCTGAGCCCTTGAGTTGCCTTGAGCAAAATAGTTACAGCATATATTTAGTGATTTTAATGTTAACAGATCATTGATGCAATAACATTTGGACCCAATTTGCCTGACTTGACACATGGAATAAAACATGGGCGTAGGAAGCATCCTCAATGTGGGTGAGACAATTTAACAGGGGGTGTGGGCAGGAGGTGGACCTCACCTCCTCTAGGGGGGTCCAGGGGCATGCTCCCCCGGGAAGATTTTTTTTTAAATGTTGAAGTTAAATGCATCAATCTGGTGCACTTTGAGAGCAAAATTAGGGACTAAATCTATGGATACATCTCTCAACACCCATATGAAACAGAACTGTAAACAGATTTACTTTTTCTTTCAACATTTATTTGAACAGCAAGTGGAGCCTAAACTCAGTAACAGAATGTGGGCAACACGTTCTTCTCCACAGCCGCGCGACCTCTGAGTCAGACGTTACTTCCCCCTTTTCTATCCTATGGGTACAGCCACTCCCCCTGAACCCCGTTTCCCTGCCAACCCCCCCCCCTCCCCTATGCAAGCCCCTCCCTCTGAACCCAGGGCTCGCTACAATACTGTATACACAAACTATACAAAAACGCCTTTACGCTTTGGAGCTTGTTTATCCATCTGTAAGCAACTGCCAGCTAGGTCTCTCAGTCACTCACTCCTGATCGTTCACTGCGCAGTGACAGCTGCTACGGGCCTGATGTGTGAAAGTGAAACTATCTGATAGATAGAACATAGGTGGCCTATCAAAACGGCCCAGCCCAGAATTTTTTTTTTGGCCCTCCGGCCCACGCACAGCGGCCCACCGGGAAAACTTCCCAATGGCCCCTGATTCAAAGGCATACGAGAGGTAAATCTAACATCCCAGGAGGAGATGAGTTTCCTCTCGGCAGAGATTCAGGCCCTGGTGCAAAAACAGGCGGTGTCTGTCGTGCACCCTCAGCACAGAGAAAAGGGTCTTTATTCCATGTACTTCCTGGTTCTCAAGAAGACAGGAGAATTCAGACCTATTCTAGATCTCCGCAGCCTGAATCGGCACATTGCCTGCAGAAAATTACGCATGTTAACTATAAAACAATTACTGGGGCTAGTGCAGCCGGGCGATTGGTTCACCACCATCGACCTGAAAGACGCGTACTTTCATGTAGAAATTGCTCCAGAGCACAGGAAGTATCTGCGTTTTGCCTTCCAGGGGATAGCCTACGAGTACAACAGATTACCGTTCGGCTACTCCCTATCCCCACGCACGTTCAGCAAATGTGTGGCCACAGCGCTTTAACCGCTGCGCGCCCACGGCATGAGAGTTTTCTTTTATCTGGACGACCTCATAGTCATGGCCAGGTCCAGGGAACGGGCAATGTTTTGCACAGCCCAATTGATCCTACACCTAACCAAGTTCGGCTTTGCAATCAATTGGAAGAAGAGCACCCCCATACCTCACCAACAGGCGTTGTATTTGGGAGTGGTGCTCGATGCAGGCACGCTGCGCGCCACCCTGTCAGAGAGCAGACGCGCGTCCCTGCTTCGGGCGGTTCGCAGGCTGCGACAGGGGGCAACAGTGACAGCTTTGACTATCATGCAGACTCTGGGTCTCATGGCGTCTGCTCACGTTGTGGTCCCGCTCGGGTTACTGCATATGCGCCGCCTGCAGAGGTGGTTCTCCAGCCTGCGTTTAGATCCCAAGAGACACAAACGACGTCTGGTGACCATCCCCCCCTCGGTGGAGGGCAACCTCCGGTTCTGGGGTCCCCGGATCACCTCCGGAGGGGGTCTCCACTGGGACGGGTGACCTCCTACATCACAGTGTTCACGGACGCATCCAGAACAGGATGGGGAGGGACCTGCCTGAAGAGAGCTATAGGTGGGCGCTGGTCTCTAACAGAAACACGGCACAGCAACCTCCTACAGTAGAGCTACGGGCAGTAGTGTTGGTCCTCCAGCATTTCAAGCCCTTGATTCAGGGGAGACATGTACTGGTCAAGAGCGACAACAGCACCACAGTGGCATACATCAACAGGCAGGGCGGAGTCCGCTCCGCTGCCTTGTTGACCACAGCGGAGAAACTGTGGTTATGGGCTTCAGAGGTGGTGTTATCTCTGAGAGCCCTCCACATCCCGGGACTGGAGAACAGGGGGGCCGACCTCGTGTCAAGGGGCGGCTCCCTGACAGGCGAGTGGGCGCTTCACCCGGAGGTGGTGAAGCAGGACTGGGTCCAGTTCGGGAGAGCAGAGGTGGACCTGTGGATCTGACCCCCTCCCCGGGCGTAATGCGCTTACATTTTTCCAGGCCCCCTGGAGGGTCCCGGGGGACGTAGTGCGCGCTGGGCCCATACAGGGCTGGAGGGCTCTCCTCGCCTGCCTAGGGGCAGAGGAGAGGCCTCCTTTTATACGGTGAGATGCGCGCGCATTCAGGTAGGCCCGCCCCGGGGCCGGCTACGTTTATAGAAGTCTCAGTGGATGAATGCTTGCGTGATATGATCAAGGGGTAGTACCCATAGAGTCCAGTAGAGGGCTCCGCCTGTGCTTATATAACAAGGGGTTACCATACGTAACCCCTCGTTATGACCAGAGGGTGTGCAATTTACAAAAGTAAAATGCTAACTAAATTAGAAGTATTGATAAGATATACAAAGATTTTTCACTCGTGTCCTTGACAGCTTATGATCTTTTTAATTTGAAAGGCCTGTGTGTTTTTAAATCTTCCAGTCTCTTCCTATTCGTTTTTTTCATATATCTTGTACATCAAGGGATGACCTCACGTTGGCCTTCACCATAATCTGAGTACTTGACATTAATCTCTACATAAATATCCAAAGGGACAACTAGCTGCTATCGCACAACTTCGATTTTATAGTCTGATTTATGTTATTTTATTTTTAACACAGTCATTTTGGTCATTTTGCACATGTTTGCAGAGCTTGGACTGTTGAATTGAAAATGTTTTTCTTCTTTAAATCAATAACTTTTTATTGAATTAAATCTGGAAAAACGGTTAAAGGCAATAAAACTGTGGTTTATAAATTGATGAAGAATTCCCACAAGGGATTTATGTAACCAAATCAAAATTGTATTTATATTGACATTAACATGCATAAACACAATGTCAGCGTTTTTTTAAACATTCTCTTTTTTGCTATTGAAAAAAGGTCGATTTCACTTGAAAAAATAAATTCCAAGTTGTTCTGTTAGATACTTGTCCAAAGGTTGCATCATTTATCCTTTTCAAACTAAATATAGTCTTCGGACACGAACGGGTTAACCCATTAGGTACAGTGTGTACAGTGTGTTGTTCTGCTCCCCTCCTGCGATGAACACTTGTAGGTACAACACCCACTGCGCATGCGCATAGCCTGTATCTGTTTCCAGACATCATCATCATCACAGGTTGAGCTGCACATCCTCGAGGATCTGCTTCCTCTATTTTCTGCTTCTTTTTTCTGCCTCCGCTGCCGCTTCTGCTGCTGCGGAGCGAAAACTACAGCACGGAGGGAGTAGAAGCCATAAGATGAAGAAACGATACGTGGACGCGAGCAGGCTACGGAAAATGAAAAAGCTGAAAATAACGGAGAAGCTTTCTGAAAGGTAGCGTCGCCTGGCGGAGGAGGCTGCTGCTTTTGTTGTGGTGTTCCGTCGTCTTTGTGTAAATTTCAGCCGTCGTCATCCAGCTCACCTGTCTGCCTCGCATCACTTCATCCCGTGTCTCACATTTTATATGTCTCAGTGTGCAGCTTTAACACGCTCCGTTAGGATTTCACTGCGCACACACACACGAGCGTACAAAATGTTGCGCGAGTTACTTCACCCGACATTGTTTACGGAAAGACAGAAATCAGCAGCTGTGCAAGTTAACGTCGGCCTGCTTCCACTCAGGCATGTTACATCTGCTTAATCTGTCTCCTTGCGCACACAATTAGGCCGAATTACTGCACAATTAATGCTCTGTTTTGATTCACTGTATTTTGCTACTTGGCTTAAAAAGAAGCACAGGTCGTTTTGCACATCATTTGTAAGCGTCTAGACAGAGTACAGACAAGAAAGACTGCCTCAGGAGAAAGAAACCACTTGTTTTAAGCGTGCATTGTTTCACATGAGCAAGGCAGTAAATTCAATAATCAGTTTAATAGCTTGCACTGTATTTTCAAAATATAAACACTGGCTTATATTTGATTGAATTTGTAATCACATTTACAATTGTTGCTCCTTTTATTGGGGAATTTATGTTTTTTATACATATTTTTTGTTATATTTGGCAGCTTTGATAAAATACAAATTCATTAAAATACTCTTTTCTTAATAGCACAAGATATATTTGAACTTATTTGATGAATTTAACATGCAGTAACGCTCAATTTCTTTCTTTAGTTACCCCTACAAATTAAATATTGCTTTTTTGAGGTGAAATTAAAACACACTATTTTAAGTAACCTATAAGGGTAATTAGAACTCGTGTGAATAATTAAAGCTCTTAACTCTTTCAGATGAAATATTACTTTTTATTGTTGCATATTTAGCATTTTCCTCTTATTATAAAATACATGTTAGATCATTTCAAGTACATTTAGTAACAGTGACAATAAAAGGGAGGGTTTTAACTCTCATGTGCAGGAGGAAACTGGTGCTCCTTCTCTCCTCCAGATGAAATATTGCCATGGTAACCAAACAAAGAGGGGGTGATGTGATGTGCAGAACAAAGGAGGAAAGCAAAGCTCCTGTTGTGCTCGTGGTCGCCCGACAAAACGAATGAGGGAGCAGTCATTGTTCTGTGGTGTCTCTACTTAAAAAGGACGGACTGCAGTTTTAAGACGCAGCTGCTCAATTATAGGTTCTGCAACGAGGATTTCCTGCTTTGTTTTGGATTCTGTGTGCCTTCAATGCTTTGGCTGAAGAGGCTTCGCTGTATCTGAAATATCTCAGTCGAGATAGAATACACATTTGTTATTCATTTGTCCAGAGTATGTTCATCCCATAATGATGTTTTATGTATACAATTGAAATGTACTAGATCTACTAAGATAAGTCAATTAGTTGTGATCTATTAAATTAATTACCAACAATTTTGATATTTGTTGGTTTTGATTAATTGAAAAATAAACAAAACAATGTGAAATTAAGCCTCCTAAATGAAAATGTTTCTTTACTCATTATTGACCGTGTGCAAACTAAATATCTTTGAATTCAAATATCTTTGAATCTTGGACTTTAGGAAACACTAATCAAAGTTTTTTTTATTATTTTTTATAGTATAAGTTACTAATTAGTGAAGAAAGTAATCATCAGACTAATTAACAATGAAAATATTTTGACTTTATGATCTGTGTATTTGCAGTGCGTACACCTTCGTGAAGTTTATGATGATGTGGATGCTGGTGCTGCTGGCAGATTTCATCCTTGAGTTCAGACTGGAGTACCTGTGGCCCTGTTGGCTCTTCTTTGGGAGCGTTTACACCACGTTCCACTGCCATGGGCTGGTGAGCACCCTCCTGAGGGATTTTATATTGTGTGCCCAGATAATGATAATCCAACATAATGTTTCCAGTGCATTTGACTGAAATTAATGTGTTTTCTTCTTTCTTTGTCTGCAGGCTATTTGTGTTGTTTTTGTTTGTGCTGCCTTCACGCTGGACATCTTTTGTTTAATTTTTGTTCCTTTGCACTGGCTGTTCTTTGTGGCAAGCACTTATGTGTTATTCAATTACATATGGCACACAGGTGAGACATTTGGACACGTGGAAATATTGTTTGTTTTGTTGTTAAATGTCCCACACAAAAGATAACCTAATTATATGTTGTATATATTGCTTTATAATATATATGCAGCGTTTACCATTAACAAATCCTGAAAAAGGCATATTATTGTATCTGATAAAGCTTTTCATAGTGTGTAAATACCAATTTGAGTGAATTAGCTCTGATTTTCATTTGAACAAGGACCCCTTTAACCCCATCACATCTAATTATTTGATATTTCTCTGCAGAGAAAGGCATCTGCATATCCACGGTGTCCCTGTGGATTCTGCTCGTCTACACAGAGGCGTCACTCCGACTAAAAGACCTTAAAACCTCTCATGCAAACCTGTCTCATCTTTTTGCTGCACACTGGTATGTTCATTCGACACAAATCTCTGCCCTTATAAGAATATCCAGAATGTATATTCCTTACATTCAATGAATTGAGCTGCAATGAACTGCATTAGTATTCAACTTTGATTCATTCTCTGTGTGATATAATGAGTCAAGCTGGATGTGTGTGCACAAAAGTATAAAAGACTAGATTCACATGTATGCTGCCAAGTAACAAATGAAAGACATTGGGTGTGTTCTGCTTGCCAATATGTGATATCTCTTTTAAATGTTGCACTCATATTCCCACTGTGTTGTTTCCCCCCCTTGGTTCCAGCATTGGGTATCCTGTGGTGTATCTGGGGTTTGATGCCACGTGCTACTTCACCAACATCTTCAAGCTGCGCATTCAGAAAGCTGTGCAGAGTGAGAATGACTTCCACATGCACCTCCTGCAGCACTCGCTCCCCCCAGGCCTGCAGGTCTTCCCAAAGACGGGAACAGATGGCAGCAGCAGTGAGTCTTCTGCACACATTTCACCACACACATGTCTCTACCATTCTTACAATCTGCAGGGTGTTCCTTATTCATGACATCAGACGATCGGCACTCCCAAGTATACTGCATATTCAAAATGAACGTGTGGAAAAATCTGCCAGTAACTGTTGTTCACAAAGTTAGGTGTTAAGTAAATGTAATAAACGTAATTTTATTTTTATGATTCCTCTGAACTTCAGGGATTTTATAGAATTGTAATAATACAATACATTAGTAATTCATAAAATCTTCAGGCAGTGAGAACTGATCACTGCAAAAAAAATGCAGGTAACATCTAAAGAGTAAGTCAAAAAATGAGGTATTTTGTACGCAATGTAATTTCTCCCCTGGTACAGGTCCTTGCAAAAAATCACAAATATTATAATTTTCTCAAATAGTGTGAGTCATATCGCAATTGGAATGTCATTACATTTACTTTGGTTTGCAGTTAATATTTGTAATATCTTAATCCAACAATCAGAACGTTCTCCTCTGTTTTTCCACACTTCAGTGAGAGTGATAAAATTGCATGTATTTTTCTTTCTGCCTGTATTTGCAGGCTCTAAATGGAAGATAAAGCCTGAGTCCACTCAGTATCAGTGTCAGAACAGCGCTGTGCTGGCCACTGACGAGGCTCACACCGTGGACTGCCTCCAGATCCGCAGCGAGGAGAGAGCGCCAGAGAAGGGAGCGCTGGAGGGGAAGTCCGCTGAATCAAACCGGCGGCCATTATCATCCAAACCTGGTGAGTCCAGAGATGTGCTTCCCTGCGGGGCAGCAGGACCCGAATCCTCCACAACCCCGGAAAATCTACCTCAAGATGAGCCAGGAAGCAAAGCTACGCGGGCGGCTAAAAGCTCCTCGCCAAAAGCCAGCAGAGGCAGCACAAACACTCCGTCCCCCCCCGCAGGGAGGACGGAGAAGAAGCAGAGATCCAGCTCAAAGACGGTCAGCCCCAACCGGGACGTCCCAGAGAAGAGCAATCACCACGCTGAGCAGATGAACAAGTACGCCATCAGTACCTTCAGCATGGGATCGTGAAATCGTAGCTTTTTCCTGAAACTCTTCCTGTTTCCTCTCAGGCTGGAGCAGGATCTGAGGAGGCTGCGGGCCGAGCTGCAGCTGAGCCGGCAGAGCGAGCAGGAGCTGAGGAGCCACGTCTGCAACCTGACCAACAGTGAGCGCAGCCTGAGGCCAGAGGTGTCCCTGCTCAGACAGTCCAACATGCTGCTCCAGAGCAAGTGAGTCATCCTGCAGATCCTCAGCTCTTTGGCTCCTCCTGTGGGCTGCTCAACACATTACATCAGGCTATAAATAAACCCTAAAGGCAGGGATGAATGCATGCAGAAACACTGTGTTCATCTTTGTGAAAAGCAGACCGTTTGTGGGCTGATGTTTTAATCCTCACAGAGATTGATGGTTCTCTTTTTAAAATGGAATTCATATCTTATCAAGTCATATTTTATTTTGAAGGATTGTGGCTCACAATTCTCATCCATAATTCTCATCCATAAATGAATGATAGCTACTTACATTTGACTGAAGTCTTTCATGAGATATTCAATTCATGAGAATATCAAATTGTATTAAAATGTTTTATTTATATAGTTTGGGGCCCTTAAATGAGTGCATTTCTCAATTTTACACAGTAGCCTAAATGTGTCTCAGTTTTATCTGGAACAACACATATGCTTTCTCTATGCTTTAAGAACATGACTTTGTTACATCGTCCATCCAATCACAGATGAGTTATCAACACATTTCCCACATCAAACCCTCATCCACAGCCAGAGGCTCTAAATCTGGTCTGAGATGAGCACTTTATGCAAAGCTTTGATCAGCAGCAACACTTCTGATAAGACATGCTACCGTTTTTAAAGCAAGGTGCTCTGCAGCAACTACATATGATTCAGTTTGTTTCTAAAACACTGAAGTTAATCTCAAACGAACCCACTTCTTTTTGGTCTTTCACATTATGCAAAGTAAGATTAACGCTTTTCCTTCAGGGTTCTGTGCCTGTCTAAAACCAAGCAGAGGGACAAACAGAGCAGCGCCATGCTGGAGAAAAAGACGAGAGCAGAGACGGAGGCCAGACTCTTCGTGGAGAAACAGTTGGCTGAGCTTCAGGCTCAGAAACTGGAGGAAGCAAACAACACAGCGCGGAGTCTCAACAACAGGTAAATCACACCTTTCAAACCTCAAACTACTCGTTGATGAAGTGGCTTTGTGCCTGGAAAGTAGAGCTGCATCTGCACCGGTACGCTTCTTCTGAGTATAACTAAATGCTGCAGTGAGTGTACGGCCAAACATTTGAAGAAATAGTTTGAATTATGCTTATTCGCTGTCTTGCCAAGAGTTAGATAAGGAGATTGATTCAATGCTCATGTGTGTGTGTTCAGTGAGAAGCTGAAGTGTAGCTTAGTATATCAGCATAGCATATATTAGCATAGTATATTTGAAACAGGGGAAATAGCTAGGCTCTGTCTAAAGGTAGGAAACTCTGCGTACAAGCAGGTCTATAGCCCGCTAACCAACACATTAGGTCTCATTTCTCATGTTTACACGAACAAGAAGAGTGAAAAAACACCACTTGGGGTTTGATAGGAGCTTCAGTATACTGTATGCCACACTTTGTTTTGGATAGCACAGTGTTTGACTATAGTCCCAATATTTATTTTGTTTGTTTTAGACATTTTTGATGATGCTAGTTGGTGAACTGTATAACCATAGGACAGATTTATGCTGGATGTTTCCACTTGCTTCTGGCTTTGTGCTAAGCTAAGCTAACTTAAACATTAGTCTTATATTGAACCTCCAGATATGAGAGTCGTATCAATCTTCTTGGCAAAGTGAATAAGCTTGTTTTGAAAATATCAAACTATTCCTTGAATGCACACAGGACATTTTGTACAGACTGTTAATACATGTTCTTGCATTTTATGTAACTATATTGATTGTATATGTAGATGTTTCTTTTTGTATTTTTCCAATGAAACTCCTCTCTTACCGCTGAAAACTGTTATTTTCTCCATCTCCTACACCAGGCAGGAACACTGTGAAACCCAAATGTTAAGGAAAAGAGTTAAAGATCTAGAGACAGAGTACAAACAACTACAGCTGGAGTGTCAAGTCAAAGAGAGTCGTGTGCTAGATCTAGAGAGTGATGTTGAGGTATATTTCTACTCTATTTGGGAATGAACTTTTAAGTGTCTGTGAGTCTCAAGTGGTCCAGTACTTGTCCTCAGTTTGGTCATGTAGTTTTGCTGTTTACATTTGGTTTTTTATGTCTGTGATTCTTTGTGTTTGTTAAATATATCAGAATCATCCACCGAGACCATTTAGTCATCTTTTTTTATTTTGGCCTGCAGTCAACCTTTTGCACTTTGTCATCATGTCAGTATGTAGTAATGTGAATGGTTGTTTTTGTCGTCTTGACTTCAGCTGTGGACGTTGTCGTACTGTGTTGTATTTGATTTCATTTGAGTGACATACCCTCCCTCCATGAAGCATGCTTACACCAAAGTCAGGTCTTTCATACAAATGTTGCACTGCTTTAATAAACGTTTCAGGTTAACGAAAAGCTCATTAAAAACTGTTGCCAACAAAGAAATGACCATCTGTCAGAGTATCTCAATATCTAATTGATGGCCAATTCATTATGGAAAATGTTCGCTCTCTGAGGTGCATTGCTTTCCTAAGATCATGAACACAAAAGACACATAGTCAACTTTTAAAAAGCCAAAAACACTTAGGAGACCAAAGCATCGAATCCCTCAGTTTTCATGACACAAGGTGGATCGATGTTTTGATATTTTAAGCACGTTCTTACTGTCGATGTGTTTCTGGTCTCAGGCTCTGGGAATGTACCGCTGTGTGGAGAAAGAGACAGACATGCTGCTGTCCACTCTGTCGGCCATGCAGGAGAAGGCTCAACATCTGGAGTACAACCTGAGCGCCGAGACTCGCATCAAACTGGACCTGTTCTCGGCTCTGGGGGACGCTCGCCGGCAGCTGGAGATCGCTCAAGGTTCACACTCCCTTAACTCATCAATTTTAACTTCATCTTTGGATAAAAAAAAAAACAGTATTCGAAGGCAGGATTGAGATACTCTATGACCTTTGGCTGCCATTCACAAGTCAGTGTAGTATCTGTTAGTCATGATAAACAGTCAAAGTATGCCATCAAAAGGTCAGGAAAACTGTCATATATCAGGAACACATTTTTTAGTATCGTGCGCATATTAAAATAATAATTATTATAGTGTAGTATGTCAACAAAAACAAAATATTTTTTTTTATAATATAGTATGCCGTAAGAAAAGTTTTTTAAATGGTATAATATAATTTTTATGCGAAGATATTTACTATAAAAATATATATTTGTTTTATTATGAAGAAATTATAAAAAGATGGTCATAGTATAGTATGCCATATACGTGACTTAGTATAGTATATACAAAAAAAGTCATAGTATGTTTAAAAAAAGTAATATTATAGTATGTTAAAAAAGATAAGGTCATAGTATAGTATGTAGAAAAATATGTGAAATAAAAAAAAGGACTTAGTATAGTATGTTAAAGAAAAAGCCATACTCTTAAATGTCACTAAATAAGACCTGTCTGTCAGTGTTGAGCCTCATGTATTCCCTGTGTTTGTCGGACAGATAAAGTGATGAGGCAGGACCGGGAGATTAAGGAGATGAAGCAGAAGATCGCCGAGGTGATGGCCGTCAGCCCGGGGGTTTCCTACATGGCTCCTCGCCCCCCGGTGCCGCAGTATCTCACCAAGCTACTGAGCTCTGAGCGCTACATGCTGAACCCACGAGCCCTCATGTACCAGTGCCTGAAGAAATAAAGGAAGTCGTCACCTTTGTCTGATCCTGGGGAGAGCTCACAGATTGTTAGGACAGAGCTGCATGACACCATGAAGTCATCTACTTCCAGCCAGCGGTGGAAACAGGAAGAACCTCCACAAGTCGAATGCCTTTTGCTGCACTGATGGTACCAAGTTCACATTATTTGTTTACAAGGGTTCAAGAAGTGTTTCACTCCAAAATACTATATCTCTCTTTATGTAGAGATACAGCTAACACTTTCTAGTTGAAATGCATCAGAGAAAAGCACACTTCTTCAAATTCAGACCCTGTTAATTTATCTAAATGATTTTGGGAAATTGAAGTTCATAATGTACTAGAAGATACATCTTGCTGCCCTGCAGACCCACGAACTTACTGTAGCTTTAAAACACAGGTTCACACTTCAATTAATCAAAAGTATAATACTTACAAGGTTTTAATATCACTTGTGCAATGGTACATCTGCTGGATACTACAATCAAAATAACATGGTCTAATTTTTTTTATCGTGTTTATCCCTTTGAGTCAAATGAATATTAGTTCATAAAAGCATCCAATAAGTGTTTTTCACAGCGGGCATTTGGACGAATCAAAAGAGAAGCAGAGGTGTTACTAACAACATGAACAATGGCTCTGCTTTATTAAAATGTTTTAGCCCTGACAGTGAGTCAGCGTGCACAAACCCATGAAACTCAAACTGCTTCATGGGATTCAGCCATTGTTAATTTATTATTCATAATGTCTTCTGTGAAAAGCGAATTCAAATATTAAGATATCCTGCTGAGACATGTTCTCAGATTCAATGTGAATATAGAGAGATGATACATTTACCAAACTAAATCTGAATTTTCTCAAAGCATATTTATAATTATGAACAATTTCCACAATGCTAAATTCTTAAGAAGAGTATGTATAAGTATACATTTTGGAATCCCTTCAGAGTTGGCCGTTTACAAGGGTTCTTTTTTGAGAAACAGGTTGAAATCTTGATGTTTCTTGAGAACATTGTGCAGTGATGTTGATTGTTGGAGTGACCAGAAACGGATATCACAGTTTGCGGCGATTCTTTTCTCTTTGTTTGGCGGCTCTCGGCGTAAAACAATGGAAATGGTGATAGTGACTTTGTCCCTGAGTGACAGGGGAGTTGTTAATAACGAGGAATGGTGTCGACCAAATGTGGTTCATGAATTTAATTACTGTGCCTATATACATTACTTTCAAACAGGAAAGTAAAACACAATTTAATGTGAAAGAGTAATGTGTTTGAATTGAAGTGCTATGTACTGTTTTTGTAGTTCCTTTGATTTATTTTCTACTCACAAGGTAAAGAATTGAAAATACCCACGCAGCTGGAAACACTCATGATCTGGATGTCGCCATTTTGGTAGCTTTTTATTTAGAGTGTCTTTCTAGGGTGTTTTATATCAAAACTATTTTTTAGTCTTGCTGTACTTTTATTATACTGCTGTCATTTTGTACGGCGATGTGTTTTGTCAGCATGAAATGTGTTTTATTCAACTGTTAATTGAGCACACATTGTGACTTTCAGTATGTACATGAATATACTTGTACAAGGGCTACAATTTCTTAACATTTTGAACAAATAATTCAAATAGTGATGCTCTAAAGGGTAGAGATCACACCCCTGATGCATCAGGAGGATTTCTTTTGTATAAATAATTTAAACAATTGAAATGTGTGTGTGTGTGTGTTCATTATGTTATCAATATTAGCTTTTTCTGCAAGAGGAAACACATTTAAAACACGCACAGTCGAGTACAACGTCTTTCAAACGGCATTTCCTGCATCAGAAAGATGTCCTTTGTCTTATAAGTTGACACCAAACAAAGACCTGAAGTGCTGATAGTGTAAATATTTATTTCAGGAAGTGAAAAAAAGGGGTAAATGCATTGCAGAAACAGCACAGTGTCCAGCATAAAGTGTACAAGATGGTTACTAACATGCCAGGCAGCTCCACACCTGTATCTCTCCAGACCGTCAGAAGGCAGTCACAGCGGAGAGTAGACCGGATCACTGCCGACACTTCAATCATTATCTAAGTGCTTCCTACTGCGAAGAGGCCACATGACATTTCCAACAGGATATAAAAGTGTACAGCAGTGCAAAGAGATCCCCGAACAATTAACATTTACGGGCCGAGAAGTGAACATCTCCATAGCATAGCTCTGCTGTCCAACAGAACAACGAAGCCATGAAGAGAACTGAAGATTCAGATACATCTAAATGTTGACAGGCCTAAACTGACCATCTCCTTTATTATGACTGAAAGACAATTGAACCAATGCATCAGTTACTTTTTAGACGTAGAACAGCAGACATGCATTCCCCAAACATCATGACAAACATCCTTTGGATCATTTGCTTTAATGTGAAATATCTTCACATGAATTCTCCTGTGTAAATGTCACCTAAAGACACATTTATATTGACCTAGATTCAATCTTTAAGTCTGAAATGAGCTACTTGGAAAACTGAAGCTACAGTAGACATTGGACCACAGTCAGGTGACAAACACCCCCCCCCACACACACACACACACTCTTTTTTTTTTTTCAATAGAAAATAATAGCGCGATTCAAAGGCTGAGAGAAAGTCAAGCTTACATTCAAACCACCACCGGCCTTAGTGCTGGAAGTGAATTACAGTACACACTCAAGACAAAATAAACAAATAAATAGACTTCTTTTTCAGATCGTGGCTGCAGCTCTTCAGATTGGGTTGCGGCTGCACATTTAATTAATTTGTCCTATAATCAAATGTTTTCAAATGAAAAGTGACGTAGCATCTGTTGCATTACGAGCTCAATGCATTCGAGTCTTCAGAAACCGATAACAGGAAGTGGGACGCCGCCTTACTCGCTGCTCAAAGTTTAAAGAGACCAGACTTAACCTTACAACACCATAATACACACACACACACACACACACACACACTTCAGTATGCCGGGACAGAGAATTTGCTTTATACAGACAATTATTTAACAGTTTAAGTACAAATCTTTAAAATACAATTTAATACTGACTCAAGGAAAATACTGCAGTAATCCAGTTTTATGTTGCTTACCTCCTTCGCTACTTGAGAACCGAAAGAGATAAGCCAAACAGTGAAAACATTTGTATTTTCCTTGTTGCGACTAGGATTCCCGCTGTCAGAAGAGAAGCAGATGGCTGTTTGGTGTGGGAGGAGAGAAAAATAAGATAGAAAGCGACAACCACTCAGTGGCAGCTTTTCCCCCCCAGGAGACCCGACAGCAGACCTGCAGCCGGAGCAAGGCGTCCTCCGGTCCTCGCTAAGCTTCTGCAACACAGAGGCGGAGCCAAAAGCTAGTCCTGTTGACGAGGAGGCTGAGAGAGCCGAGGAGTCCACCGCTACGAGGAGACCGTCACCGGGTTGAGGGAACCGTTCCTGCTGTAGAACTTGGAGAAGGCCTCTTCGAGAACTGAAGCAAGTCGTGGCTGATCGCCCTGAAACAGAGGCAGCGGGGGGGGGGGGGGGAGATAACATGTCAGAGGCTGCTGGGGGTTATTATAGCAGAAGTGTTCAGTCTGAGGGTCGTCATGGAGACCTCTCACCTCACTGATGAATCCGAGCTGAACCAGCTCCCCCGACAGATCATTCACGTTCTCATCTGAACAGAAAGGCAGAATGGTTTTTGTAACGACTGCATGATGCCAGTACCGTCTACGATCAAATGATAGAACTCGGCCCTAATGAACGAAGCAATAAACAAAGAAACTCACTTGGTAACAAATCACAGCTCAGGTGCCTGTTCAGTTTATCCTCCAGTTTCAACAGCAAGGTCAGCTGAAAAGACAATCAAATAATCATTACAAAAGACATATCAAAACATAAAACACTCTCATATAAGACTAAATACTAAGAAGCAGAGACAGTTATCATTTATCAGAATTGAAACTCACATGGTGCTTGTTGCCCTCGTCAACAGGCTCAATATTGCACTGCATCTGGAGGACCTGTGAAGGAGAACAGTTTAATACAGGAAGTGCAGACGATGAAATGTATTATTAAAAAGTATACACACAAAACCAAAAACAATTCACACTATAAGAAGCTTTTTGTTAGTTCTCCAGTATGATTCGAGCAGAAATCTCACTCACTGCTTACATACAATTAATACAAAAATAAAAGTAATTTACTAGTTATTTCTCTTTAGGATTTGTAAATATGATATGACAGATCTTACCTTCCTGGTCTCCAGCTCAGCGGGTTCAGGGGTCGGGGTTTTCACAGAGGGGGGAACGATGGGCGACTTCACCGTCTCCTGCTGAGGCTGATGAGGACTTGGTACCCCAAACGCCGTCAGAGGATAGATCCCATTCCTGTTGCATCGAGGAAAATAAGAGACAACCTCAGGACGACTGAAAACTAGTTCATGCTGTCCAGCTGCAGGATATCTTTAAAGTAAAGGCTTTGCTGACCATGGATACATGTGTATATCCAACTACAAAAAGGTCCTATTTCTGGCCTAAAGCTGTTCAGCAGAATGAATCAACTTTATTGATATCACCTTTCATGCAGAGAATTGAGCACAATGACCTTTACAGATAGCAATACACTATTAACACAAAGAGGAAGGGACAAATTATCTATCTACAAATTGGAGAAGAATTTTAAAAGATTGAAAACAGAAAGCTAATAACTTTAGGTTTTTATATGAAGCTCAGCGCAAGTTCAACCAGGAAGACCTTCTTTTCTTATTAATTTACTATTTCTATGTTACTACTCTCTCTCCTCTCAATAAGTGATCGGGGGCGTCACTCCCCAGCTTAACCTATCACTTCGCTCTATTCCCACAAGCCTATCATAGCGCTCCGCTAAACCTTTTAAATCTGCTCTCCCCTCTGACAGCTGTCATTTCAGGTGACTCGACGCAACCCCCCTCCACCCCTTTTCACCTCCTGTCCCTCTGAATCCAGGGTCAAGCTAAGCCCCTCCCCTTCAGACCGAACCCAACTATCCATTCACCACCACCAGTGTCTAGGGGGGTTTCATCAGATCGGTTCTCCCCTCCCGAATGATACTCCTGCACAACGGGGCCTAATCGCCAAAACGTCATTACATTCATTTGTGTATTCCTGGCAATAAATATGTATTCTTGCATCAAAACCGTCTCTCCTGATTGAAATGCTGTTAGATCAGCAAAGATGATTTCTAAAGACAGTGTTTTTAGGCTAAAATGGTTAAAAGTAGGATCTCCTGAGGAGTTGCAGCGTCCTTGTGAACAGTTAAAGATGAGCTTAGTGTTCAAGGAGAATCATATAACAATAAGGAGTCTGTGCCAGTAAAAAGAAGCAAGGCCATGAGTGCCTTAAAGGCCCTGACTCTGCAGACAAGCTTTGTTCCTACCTTACATCCTCCAGGAACTTGTCCAGCTCAAGAGCAGGGAACTGAGAGAGCCTGAAGCAGAAGACACAATGTTACTCAGCAAATCAAGACAAGAAATATACACGTGTAAATAATCTATTGATTTCAGTGTGATAATATGAACACAGGAACCCTTCTAAAGACTTCCTTCTCTCCCAAAGTTTTCATAAGTTTATCTCTGTACGTCCGCACTATGTGGTTCCACGCAGACTCACTTCATCTGAACTCCATCTTTGACTTCAACAATCACCAGGTTGGGGTCCATGTTCTTTGTCATCTCTTCTAAAGCATTTTCTGGAATCATATCTGCAGGCAAACAGAGAAGAGAGCGATCAGAAGAAGCAGTGTTTAAGTCCTAAGTAAAATAAAACAAATATCATTTTGGAAAATGAATGACCTTTATAAGAAAACAGATCATCTTCAATTCTTATTTGTAAACTCTGTATTTGCTTTGAACAAAATGCCAATAGCTGTATATTAAAGATAATAATTGCCAGTAATCAATCAGATGACACATGTTGTGAGTGAGTTTTGGGTGTGTGTGTGTGCGTGCGTGCGTGCGTGCGTGCGTGTGTGTCTCACGTTGGTGGCTGACGATGCAGTGAGCAGCCAGCAGCTTCAGTAATGGCACCTCGAACAGGGCCTGGTGAAACAGCAGCTCCTTAGCGGTGGGCCGCTTACAGGGGTCCACCTCCAGACACTTCTGGATAAATTCCTGGGAAATCACCGGGGGAAAATATCTTAAAGTTATACATTTACAATCCAGACAGCTATACAGGCTCTTAATATTTGTGTATCGCTCACTCACCCGCTGCAAAGGGTCCTCTAGCATCTGAATGGCATTGTTTATGGCTTCTTGGGACACATAAGACGAATCTCCGTTACTCTGGATTTCCAACACAGCCATCTGAAGGAGTGAGCAGAACAGAGGAGGGTGGTGATTGGAAGTGATTCATAAATAAAAACAAGTCAACAGCAGCCAATGGTCATCCCTGCAGACCTGAGTGTCTTTCAAAAGTCTGAAGGGTTAAAAACAGCATTTCCATTTTTCTGTCTTGCAAACAGAGTGAACTAACAACTTGTCTTCATTGTTAGTTTCCACATGCCTAAAACAACCTCAAGCTAAATCTAAAAGTTGATGGCTAAATAAGAGCATTTGAGAAATTGTGCAAGGCATAATAGTCCGAATAGTCCATTAATCGTTTCATTAATCGATTATCAAATTAGTCGTTTGTTGCAGCCCTAATTTCTATTTCCGTAACTACAGTAAAAGGCAAACTTAGCATGTT